GTTCATTGAAAAAATTGGATAAACATTTTGGTATTTGGCAACCTTGTGCTTGGAAATATCTGTTGAACTCCCTGAGGAAGACACTGAAACAGGAGGGTATCTGGACCTCTGTTGGAGGAAGACTGAGCACTTATTCAAAATAGACAAAGGACTCCTCCCTCTTCAAACTTTTGTATAATTAAGGAGGACTGATATTAATAAAGGGGTTGTGCAGTATCTTTTGTGATATATTAAGAGACGATACTTAGATGTTTTGATATATGATTCTTTCTATGTATTAAGGCTTATATGATAAATAATGTATGGTGAATAAATTGGAAAATATAAAACAAAAAATATATAAAAATCATTTGAGATATTTTATAATCGTCTGTAGCACAGTATTTGCCCTTTTCTTCCCCGTCTGAAGGGCTGACGGAGACGCTTGCAGGGCATTACTCGGGGTTCCTCGGGGGACGCTTGCTGAGGTTTCCTCGTGGCCTCTTAGCAATCGTGTTTCCTGCACTCTTAGCAGAATCGATCCTGCCACAGCACCTTTGGCCAGGGGCAGAAATGATGTCCGTTTCTTCCGTTCCTGTTCCTCGCTTCTTGACTCTGGCTTCCTGTAGGAAGGAAGAAGCGTAAGAGGCACACTTTCTGCTTCAAGGCAGCACATTCCTGAGACGCCACTGTGGGTCCCTATCCTGAGGGTATGTGGATCCACAGGGGGGCACTACAGGATTTTATACTGCCACGTGTGGCCTAGAAGAATGCATTGCAAGAGCCTGGCTCCCCCCACGTAGGCCGACATGAGGAAACTGGAAACTTTGCAAAGAATACTGAGTTTTATGAAACTCCTTTCTCCCTAATTTATTTCATTTATAGCCCACCTCTCTCCCTAATGGGGCCCCCGAAGTAGTTTACATAATTCTTCTCTCCTCCATTAGGACAGACAAAATGACATGCCTCTTTACACAGAGAGTGATTAAAATGTGGAACTTGCTGTCAGAGGATGTAGTGATGGTCGCAGGCATAGACAGCTTTAACGGGGGATGGGGGGTTAGATAGATTCATGGAGGATAAGTCTGTCAGTGGCTACTAGCCATGGGGACTGAAGTGAACCTCCATATTCAGAGGCACTGATCTTCTGGATCCCAGAGCCAGCAGGCAACATGAGGGGAAGGCCTCGGCCTCCATGCCCTGTTGATGGCCATCCAGAAGAAGAGGAGATTGGATTTATACCCCGCCCTTCACTACCCAAAGGAGTCTCAGAGCGGCTTACAATCTCCTTCCCCTCCCCACAACAGACACCCTGTGAGGTAGGTGGGGCTGAGAGACCTCTTTTTAGAACTGTTCTTGAGAGAACAGCTCTGAGAGAACTTGTGACTGACACAAGGTCACGCCAGCAGCTGCATGTGGAGGAGCGGGGAATCAAACCTGGTTCTCGCAGATTAGAGTCCGCACTCCTAACCGCTACACCAACCTGGCTGCTTACCATGTGAGAGAGGGTGCTGGACTAGATTGGACCACTTGTCTGATCCAGCAGGGCTCTTCTTATGTTTGTTTCATCCTCACAACAGCCCTGTGAGGTAGGTTAGGCTGAGAGTGTGTGACTGGCCCACGGGTCAACCAGCAGACTTCCGTGGCGAAGTGGGGATTTGAACTGGGTTCTCCCAGATCCTAGTCTAACAGTAACTGCAACACCACGCTGGCTTTCAATGGCTGTTTCAGCATGATCGGTGAAATTAACTGCACTTTAGGGATAAGGCACTTCTGAACCGGTTGTCTAGATACCGGAGTGCTTAATTGGTGGACTGAGAGAGAAGCCCCCCCTGCCCCCCCCCAGCTTAATATTGTTTGGGATCTGGTGAATTTCATTAATGGGGAAACTAAAATATTCAAGACTATCTTTCCTAACCCTGTAGGGGTACAGCTTTGTGTTTACCAGACTGGTGTCTCAAAACAACCATCTGTATTGAAACTTTGTTCCGCTGCACGTGGACTTAGCAATTATTAGGTCTGGGGAAAAGGTAGGCAGTGCCCTAAAACTCTTTTCATTGATTTGCAGCCTGACCGAGCACAGCTCCAGCGTTCTTTTGTGTCTGCCACAATGTTGACAGTTTCTATTTTCAGCTTCCTTCCCCTGCCTGTTTTGCCAACTGGCAAACCTCCGTGGGCCGGGATCCAAAGAATCAGTGCATACTAAACCTAATTAAGCAAACAAACAAAAACCCTTTAGAGCCTGTTTCCTGAACTACAGCGGTCTCTATTTTTTGCCTGGCAAAACAAGAAAGTGGTTTTGGATGTAGCGCCGAGGTCGTCTGCTTCGAGGAAAGCGGAATGTAGAACACCCAAAATGCACCCCACTGTTGCCATGTTGTGTAACCTTTTGAATCCTGACCACACTCAGGTACCTTAGCAGCACAGCAGAGCCAATGTAGTGTAGTGGTTAAAGTGTCGGATAAGGATCCCAGAAACTCCTTGTTCAAATCCTTGCTCGTGACCTTGGGCCAGTCACATGCTTTCGGCCTAACCTACCTCACAAGGTTGTTGTGAAGATAAAACGAAAGACAGGAGAACCATGTAAGCTGTGTTGGGCCCCCACAGGGAAGAAAGGTGGGATATAAATAAAATAAACCTCTTTCTCCCTCTGTGGTGTTGGGTTGTCTTGTACGGCGTTTGTGGGGATATAGCCATGCTCTAAATAATACATATATTGTACTTGGAACAAACTTGAACAAATTCGCGCTTCATAAATACACTGAAGAACAAAGGTTGTAGACTGCAAGATAGGTCTGTGCGGAATCCCTAAACAGTGTTGTGGAGTGGTTAGAGTAAGGGTTTGGGAGACCCGGGTTCGAATACTCACTCTGCCCTGGACATTTGCTGGGTAATCTTGGGCCAGTTGTGCATTCTCAGTGTAACCTACCTCGCATGGTGGGTGTGAGGATAAAATGGAAGACAGAAGAATGATGTTAGCCCCTGTGGGTCCTCACTGGGAGGAAAAGGCGGGGTATCAGTGAAGTGAATACATGAATCCTGGGCCCAGCCAAAATGGCACAAGACACTGTGTGCAATCTTTTGTGTTCGTTGTGGTTCATCCTGATAAAAAAAGGTATTACACAGATATGGAAGAAGAGATTGGATGTGTACCCCGTCCTTCACTACCCAAAGCAGTCTCAGAGCATCTTACAATCTCCTTTCCCTTCCCCTCCTCCCCACAACAGACACACTGTGAGGTAGGTGGGGCCAAGAGTGCTCTCTAGAGAACTGCTGTTGAGAGAACAGCTCTGAGAGAACTTGTAACTGACCCAAGGTCATGCCAGCAGCTGCATGTGGAGAAGTGAGGAATCGAACCCGGTTCTCCCAGATTAGAATCCGCGCTCCTAACCACTACACCAAATTGGCTCCCTTTATAAATGCACCAAGTAAGGCATATTGCATGTTAACTGCTAACTGGTCATATAATGCCTTTCATGTTAGGAGCAGTAGCATTTGGTAAATCAACATGTTATAGGCTTTAATTTTCCCCAACATCAAGGGCAGTGTTCCCTCTAAGCTGAGTTAGTGTGAGCTAGCTCACAGTTTTTTAGCCTCCGGCTCACGCATTTTTGTCATAGCTCAGGAATGATGGCTCCAGAGCAAACTAATTCATGCAGTACCCAGATCACTTGCTCACAGCTTTAATGCCAGGAGCTCACAAAGTAGAATTTTTGCTCACAAGACTCCACAGCTTAGAGGGAGCATTGAGGGTGGGGCCTGGAAAACGTTCATAATTGCTTTTGCCCTTTGGGAAATGCAGCCTCTCTTGTGTATGGCTTTTTTTAGGTATAATTTTTTTGATGATTTTGTTTGGCATCGCCCATCTCTGTCTTCCTGTCCCTTCTCAGACCACTTTGCCAATGTTCAGGAGCAAGCAGTTCTCGGTGAAGAGGAGATTCAGCGACTTCTTGGGCTTGTATGAGAAGCTGTCGGAGAAACACGCACAGAACGGGTTCATCGTCCCACCGCCTCCTGAGAAGAGCTTGATAGGTGAGGTTGTCGGGTAAATTCTGCTAGCAGTATCGTGGGTCCCTGCTCAAAGGCATAACAGTCCTCCAATAAATGCCCTTTTAGAATCATGGAATCATAGAGTTGGAAGGGACCTCCAGGGTCATCTAGTCCAACCCGCTGCGCAATGCAGAAAATTCACAAATACCTCCCCCCGCACACACTCCCGGTGACCCCTATTCCATCCCCAGAAGATTGCAAAAAACCTCCAC